TGTTCTGGTGACTATAGTGTCCCTTTAAGCTGTAGTAGTTTTGGTGTCTGTCCCTTTAAGCTGTAGTTCTGGTGACTGTCCCTTTAAGCTGTAGTAGTTTTGGTGACTGTCCCTTTAAGCTGTAGTAGTTCTGGTGACTGTCCCTTTAAGCTGTAGCAGTTTTGGTGTCTGTCCCTTTAAGCTGTAGTTCTGGTGACTGTCCCTTTAAGCTGTAGTAGTTTTGGTGTCTGTCCCTTTAAGCTGTAGTTCTGGTGACTGTCCCTTTAAGCTGTAGTAGTTCTGGTGACTGTCCCTTTAAGCTGTAGTAGTTTTGGTGTCTGTCCCTTTAAGCTGTAGTTCTGGTGACTGTCCCTTTAAGCTGTAGTAGTTGTGGTGACTGTCCCTTTAAGCTGTAGTAGTTGTGGTGACTGTCCCTTTAAGCTGTAGTTCTGGTGACTGTCCCTTTAAGCTGTAGTAGTTTTGGTGTCTGTCCCTTTAAGCTGTAGTAGTTTTGGTGTCTGTCCCTTTAAGCTGTAGTTCTGGTGACTGTCCCTTTAAGCTGTAGTAGTTTTGGTGACTGTCCCTTTAAGCTGTAGTAGTTGTGGTGACTGTCCCTTTAAGCTGTAGTAGTTTTGGTGTCTGTCCCTTTAAGCTGTAGTAGTTGTGGTGACTGTCCCTTTAAGCTGTAGTTCTGGTGACTGTCCCTTTAAGCTGTAGTTTTGGTGACTGTCCCTTTAAGCTGTAGTAGTTGTGGTGACTGTCCCTTTAAGCTGTAGTTCTGGTGACTGTCCCTTTAAGCTGTAGTGGTTTTGGTGACTGTCCCTTTAAGCTGTAGTAGTTTTGTGGCGTGCTCCGTCCCCTTTGCTGTAGCCCTGGGTGGACGTCCCTGCCGTAGTGTGCTGTGGGTGACTGTCCCGGCTGTAGTTCCCAGGACGTCCCCTTTAAGCCGTAGTAGCTGTGGGTGACTGTCCCTTTTAAGCTGTAGTAGTTTTGGTGACTGTCCCTTTAAGCTGTAGTAGTTCTGGTGACTATAGTGTCCCTTTAAGCTGTAGTAGTTTTGGTGACTGTCCCTTTAAGCTGTACTTGTTCTGGTGACTATAGTGTCCCTTTAAGCTGTAGTAGTTTTGGTGTCTGTCCCTTTAAGCTGTAGTTCTGGTGACTGTCCCTTTAAGCTGTAGTAGTTTTGGTGACTGTCCCTTTAAGCTGTAGTAGTTCTGGTGACTGTCCCTTTAAGCTGTAGTAGTTGTGGTGACTGTCCCTTTAAGCTGTAGTAGTTGTGGTGACTGTCCCTTTAAGCTGTAGTAGTTTTGGTGACTGTCCCTTTAAGCTGTAGTTCTGGTGACTGTCCCTTTAAGCTGTAGTAGTTCTGGTGACGCTCTCAGTGGGTGCCTTGATCCTGAGTCAGGACGCTGCAGTTCCCAGTGCCGCCGCTGGTCCTCCGATGTCGCTGTTTGACCCCGCGCCGCTCTGGTTGCGCTCTGCCCTCGCTGTGACCGGCAGACATGGCTGCCTACAGGGTCCTCATGCCGCTGTTCGGCCGGGTCCTGTGCCGGCTCTCGGGGCAGCCAGTCCGGCCCAGGTTTGCGGGCATTTCCCGGGCTCAGCCTCTGGGAGAGGTGGAGGGACGGAGCCGGGAGACAGAAAGAGGTGAGCCGGGCTGTGTGTGTCCTTCCCCCCCCTCCCGGGATATACTGCCCCTCCCCTCCTCCCCCGGGATATACTGCCCCCCTCCCCCTCCCCGGGATATACCCTCCCGGGATATGCTGCTCCTCCCAGGTATACTGCCCCCCTCCTCCCCGGGATGCCTGCCCCCCTCTCCCGGGATATACTGCCCCAGGACCTCTGCCCCCCTCCTCCCCGGGATATGCCCCAGGACGCGCACACCCACCTCACCCCGGGATATACTGCCCCCCGGGATATACTGCCCCCATGGAGAATTTGTCAATGACCTTTATCCTCCTGCCCCGTGGGGGTCAGTGACCTTTATCCTTCTGCCCTGAGCGGGAGGGATGTCCAGTGACTTTTATCCTTCTGCCCCAGGGGTTGTCCAGTGACATATCACCTCCTGCCCCGGGGGTGTCAGTGACATATATCCTCCTGCCCGGGGTGTCAGTGTTTTATATATCCTCCTGCTTTGGGCGGGGTTGTCAATGACCTTTATCCTCCTGCCCGAGTGGTTGTCAGTGACCTTTATCCCTCTTGAGCTGAGGTTGTCAATGTTTCTTTATCCTCCTGCCCGGTGTCAGTGACAACATCCTCTGCCCGTGGGGGTCAGTGACCTTTATCCTTCTGCCCTGAGCGGGAGGGGGATAGTCAGTGACTTTTATCCTTCTGCCCCAGGGGGTTGTCAGTGACCTTTATCCTCCTGCCCCGGGCAGGGGGGTGTCAGTGACATATATCCTCCTGCCCCGGGCAGGGGGGTGTCAGTGACATATATCCTCCTGCCCCGGGGGGGGGGTGTCAGTGACATATATCCTCCTGCCCCGGGCGGGGGGTTGTCAGTGACCTTTATCCTCCTGCCCCGGGCGGGGGGTTGTCAGTGACCTTTATCCTCCTGCCCCGGGCGGGGGGTGTCAGTGATTTTCTGTATGACCGAGGATTTTTCATTGGTGTTCAGTATGTTTGTCTAGGAATGGCATAATTGGTTATCTGCCTACCCAAAGATCAATCTCTTTTAACCAATGATGTTATGTCTGTATTTAATAAATATCCAGTGTAGTTAAGAGAGCTATATGCTGCTGCCCTTGGGAACACTTTTAGTTTTAGAATAGCGTTTTGTCATGGGAGTCCATTGACCATTAGACTGCTACCCAATGGGAGCCAGCTGCCGAAAGGGTTCCCGTGACCTTGTGAAGTCATAGTATAGCTGTAGGAACTTTGGACATTTTAAGTCTAGCTGTGGCTAATGGAACCTCTGTACACAGTTCTTCTTTTCACCAATTGTATGAAGACCTCTGTACCTCTCTGTGGGGGTCTGTCTGTTGTAGGATACCTGGGTTTCTGTCTGTCTGTTGTAGGATACGTGGGGGTCTGTCTGTTGTGGGATACGTGGGGGTCTGTCTGTTGTGGGATACGTGGGGGTCTGTCTGTTGTGGGATACGTGGGGGTCTGTCTGTGGGATAATGGGGTCTGTCTGTTGTGGATAATGCGGGGGTCTGTCTGTTGTGGATAATGTGGGGTCTGTCTGTTGTGGGATACGTGGGTCTACAGGGATACCGCGGGGGTCTGTCTGTTGTGGGATACGTGGGGGTCTGTCTGTTGTGGGATACGTGGGGGTCTGTCTGTTGTGGGATACGTGGGGGTCTGTCTGTTGTGGGATACGTGGGGGTCTGTAGAAAAAAGGAAGAAAAAAAACCCAAAAAGGGATGTCTTATATAAAGACCGCCCAGAGGGTAAATACCCAGTCCAATCTCAACAGTAGTGTAGTTGCCAAAAAAATAAAAAAGCCTTTATTGAAATCTATTAAAAAACCTGGGTAATCAGTGATGGACAGAATAATATAGGGAGAAATATGTATGGTAGGAACAAGGCTAATCAAGAGCCAACCCTCACAAGAAACGGAGAGGGGATAGAAGGCAATATGTACCCCCATACATAACTCAGGTAACAAAGCAGTAGGAAAGAACAGGAAAAGGGAGAAACACACACTCCCAACCAAACAGTAGTGCTATGCTAATACCCTATCTCCTATAAAACACCTTCGTGGGTGTTCTAATCTAAATGCTGTCATAACATCTGAAGCCCCAGGTACACACACATACTAGAAAAACATAAATGAAAAGGTGCTCAGAGCAAAGTGCTCAAGAGAGTATTAAAAACACAGAAGAACCCGACGTACGTTTCGGCGTGACCACACGCCGTCCTCAGGGGTATCAGCAGTGAGCAAAAAACTGTCCGGGTGGTAAATTTATACCTTAAGCTCATAAGCTTTATTGTAATCACCTGTGATTGTGTCTAAATTGCTCCGGTCCTCCTGTGAATGGGGCTGTGGGGGTGTGGTGTAACACACCATAGTGTCAGCCCACATTTCTATGTCAGAGGTAGCCAGAACAGAAATCAGGTGAAAGGCAATTAACCCTTTGAGTGCCCCGCCCGGAACAGATATAAATGGATACTTACTATATCTAAAAGGCAGTATCCATAGCTTAACAGTTAACCCTTGGAATGTCCAAATTGTATCATATAGGTCAAGTGTGTGGATTGATTCTTATGGCTGTATTGTGTAGCTTTAGTACAATTAAAGAAACAACTTATAACCGTTGTGAACCAGTAAGGGATAAGTACAATGGCTATATGGGCAGTCATACACAGAAGCCGACAATTCTTTTATTGCCACTGTAAATAGTAACCCATTAGTTTATGCAACACAAAACAGACCCCTAAACTCTTAATTGTTGTGGGATACCTGGGTGCCTGTCTGTTGTGGGATAAGTGGGTGCCTGTCTGTTGTGGGATAAGTGGGTGCCTGTCTGTTGTGGGATAAGTGGGTGCCTGTCTGTTGTGGGATAAGTGGGTGCCTGTCTGTTGTGGGATACCTGGGTCGCTCTCTGCGGGTGCCTGTCTGTTGTAGGATACCTGGCTCGCTCTCTGCGGGTGTTTGTGTGTTGTAGGATACCTGGGTCCCTCTTTGCGGGTGTTTGTGTGATGTAGGCTATCTGGCTCGCTCTCTGCGGGTGTTTGTCTGTTGTAGGATACCTGGGTCGCTCTCTGCGGGTGTTTGTGTGTTGTAGGCTATCTGGCTCGCTCTCTGCGGGTGTTTGTCTGTTGTAGGCTATCTGGGTCGCTCTCTGCGGGTGTTTGTGTGTTGTAGGATACCTGGGTCGCTCTCTGCGGGTGTTTGTGTGTTGTAGGATACCTGGCACGCTCTCTGCGGGTGTTTGTCTGTTGTAGGATACCTGGCTGGGTCGCTCTCTGCGGGTGTTTGTGTGTTGTAGGATACCTGGGTCGCTCTCTGCGGGTGTTTGTGTGTTGTAGGATACCTGGGTTCCTCTCTGCGGGTGTTTGTCTGTTGTAGGATACCTGGGTTCCTCTCTGCGGGTGTTTGTGTGTTGTAGGATACCTGGGTCGCTCTCTGCGGGTGTTTGTGTGTTGTAGGATATCTGGGTCGCTCTCTGTGGGTGTTTGTGTGTTGTAGGATACCTGGGTTCCTCTCTGTGGGTCACTGCCACAGCCGTTCCTGTGTACAAAGCATCCCATTTTTAGGCTGTTAGTGATGTTTGGACTCAGATTGATGGCATTATTCACTAGTCTAATCTATTTATTTATTAATGTATGTTTGCAGACTCTTGTGATTTACTAAAGGAATTTCCTGAGCCTAAAAGTTTGCTGAATAATGTGATTAGTAGGGCACTGGGATCCACAGAAATTAAAGACAAATTGGTTTATACCCACATCAGCAACGCCAACAAATATGTAAGTATAACATGTCTTTATATTGAACCTGACCTGAAACATACCCATAAATGCTCAGCAAATATATTAAAGAAACACTATAGTCACCCAAACAACTACAGCTTAATGTGGCGAGCCTAAGGCACACCTGGGCAATAATCATGCTGTCTAATCAGCATCATGATATGCCACACCTCTGAGGTGGATGGATTATCTCAGCAAAGGAGAAGTGCTCACTAAC